GTTCCCTGCAGAGTTCCACTTATTGATCGTGTTATTGCTCCTTCCTTGGTCCTGGGAGCATTTCACCCCTGTACAATCATCTAGGCCATGATCCCACGATTCAAGCCTGTCGATTGGCGCAGTGGGTTCGTTCATTGTTAACACTGGATCGCTCACGGGATCTATTCTCCATGACGTTGAATGTTTTGCAATCCTCACAGGTTACTACCTTGCTTTCTACAATTCTTTCAAAGCAACCCAGGATTGCTTTGTGGTGCAGAGCCAAACGTCGCGATTATGGGCGCTGCATTACATGGTTCAATTCCATGGGACGCAAATTTTGCTAGGAATGTAGTGAAGTTCACCATTCAAAGCGGGTCATCTGGCTGTCTCGCCTTTCATTATTCACCGTTTACGGCCGTAGTTTACCACCTTTAACTCCCAGTCTATGGCACTTTACTACCGTCCCAGGTGTTCCCCATATGCAGCAGCAGGTCCTCTTTCACTGCCCCACCGTCTTCAGAATATGATTTCCTATGCGTCAGCGTCAAGCTCGACGAGGGTTACCGTAATCGCTCCAGCCTGAAGCTGCTACACAATTTCTTTAATCGATTACGTGGTGAGTAACTTTTTGGAGACACTAGCTGTGAATATGCAAGACCACTTTTGACCAGCGTTTCAGAGATGTCGTAATGGTCTATGGTACCTCAAAGACCTCGTTGAGCTTGTACCGCGAATCATGTTTCCGTGTGATAATCTTCTGATGTCGTCAGTGTAGAAGGCTCTTATGTAAACCCTTGATAGATAGGAATGTGCTCTTTAAGATTCAGTAAAGCTCATTTGGTTTGGTTTCGCAACGTGTATTTAAATAGGTTTCAAATGTGGAGGGAAGTGACTCTTTTTTTCGACCTCCTTTATATTAGTCACGCAAATAGAGATGCATTCCAGCGCTATCAAAACGCAAGCCAAAGCGCCAAATAGTGTGACAGGAGTTAACTGAATTAATTCGAACATGTATTTTTTTGTTTCAATTATTCTTAGCTTTGACGCAAAACTGCACGTAAGAGCGCGATGACATGAAGACATCTTCTTGAAGGATCTCCCCTCCCCGAAAAATTCTTGCATTCTTTCCCAACATAAATATGCCAGTTGTGATCGCTAGAGGCAACACACAAACTTTCACGCATGAAGATCCGATTCCCGAATAGAAAAAACCTCCGAAAACCACACCCGATGGTAGGTCACCTGGAGAATATGGCGGCGCATGGAAGGAAGTGCACCCTGAGGGCGTCACGCATCAGGCAACACATTGAACGAAGCAGTGCAAGCACAGGGACAAAACGATAGATACAGTGCGTACTAAAAGTATGTGGACACCCTGGAATCGATTCTCAGGGGTCAGCTAAAGGCTTTTATGTCATGAAACCTCCACCATTCACTCCTAGTGGTCGATAACCTACAATAACATTTTCGGCAAAAGATTTCGTTCTAACTTGCGAACTATTTTTCTTGGAAAGTTTTTTCTTTGTATCAAAATTATGTGGACACTTTTTGAAAAACGGCAATATCTTCAGATCTGAAATCGGTAGGCCTACCAAAGTTCTAGTAAGTTGAGCCATTCTGTTTGGCATGCTATGAAGCGGGTCTGGATACATGTCTTGCAGATCTGTTCCCAACTAGCAAATTTCACCGACGTGTTAGGTCACTTGTGATATTACTCTTTTGTTCAATGACGTAGAGACCGCGAACCACGATACCTCTACGTTTTCAATAAGGATGAAGTCTGAAGAATACGCTAGCCGACTTGCCAATCCAAGCCGTTGCGTTTAGCATTTTTCCAAATGGAATGGTGTCAGGGACCTCCCCTGCAAAACAAGTGATTTGCGACATGACTTTTCGAAAAAAGGTTGTAGGCCGGGACTGAGCACACTCATTATAATCTAATGTCGTCTACCTGACATGTTGGCGAGCCAAACTTCAATGTCCCCTCCTTTTGGAACAACCCCAACCTTTGATGAACATCTTCCCGAATTGCCCTCTTCGAGCACATCTGCGGTCCGATCAAAGTCTCTCCAAAAAACCTCAAGACCACCCGAATAGTAAGTAATGAGCTCTTTCTGCAGTCGAGTTGGTTTTATGAAGAGAATTCCACAGGTCTTTTACACTAAATTTTACCACTTATCTACGAAACGCGGCCTGTGTGGTCCAAGGTATCATGATGTTGATCCTGTTTTGAGTGGGCAATTTCCAGGCTTGCCAACGCTGAACGCCGCATTTATATACAAAGCCTTTCTCATCTTCGTTCGTGCTGTGTGCTAATTGATGAGCACACAGCACGAAATGAATGAGACACCGGTTGGTCCTTTTTTAGGATTGGTAACATCATTTATGCGTAATAGTTGAGTAGAACGAAAAGAATAATTTGAAAAATCCAAGGCTATTCTTTTCCTGTTTTGAAAAATAGCGATTGAGAACAACCCTCAGTCAGGTTACGAGAGCTCAGCATCAGGATTTCGGATTTCTCTCAAACCTACGAGGACGCATGACTGGTTGACGTGCAATTTCGGCAACAGAAGGTTCAGAAGCATGGGGATCCCAATTTCTGTGCCGGCTTACTCAGAAAACGCTTGCCGGAAGAGAATGATGCCAGAATAAAGTAACGAAAGAGAATAAAATTAGGATAGGAAATCGATGCAAAAACTTCATCTGCCTCAGGGTGTCCACATAATTTTGATACAAAAAAAAACTTCCATGAAAAATAGTTTCGCTAAGTTAGAACGAAATCTTTTGCCGAAAATATCATTGTAGGTTACGCGAGCCACTAGGAGTTGAATGTGAAGGTTTCATGATAAAAAAGCCTTTAGCTGACCCCTGAGAATCCCAGGGTGTCCACATACTTTTGGTACGCACTGTAGAATAGGATACAATAGAAGTGTGAGATGTTGGGTCGCCAGCGAATCGCTGGATCCGAGCGCCAGAGAATCGAGCGTTGCACCAGCGAGTCAACCTTTGCACCATTCAAAGGAAGCCTGCCACTTTCAGAAAGGGTCCACTGTCACGTGGCACTGTTCGAAGTAGCGGGCTTCCTTTGAACGCTGTACCGCCACTATTGGGTCGCTGGTACATCGTTGACTCGCTAGTGCATCGGTCGATTCGCTGGCGCAACGCTCGGATCCAGCGAGTCGCTCGATTCGCAAACTATGACGTCGGCCTTAGTGCAATAAGTCAAAAGGTCAAAAGGAGTTCGTAGTAACGGCGCTTCAAGAATCAAGTGGAAGCGGTTCCGCCGCCAGCATTTGTGACAAATGTATGGGAAATTTTGCACGCGCCATAGCCCTCCCCTTTCTTCAAATTTTTCACCCAAACAGACGCCAATTTTTCGTTCTTTTCGTTCATATCGTGATCAACAGGTCTAAAGCCAGTGTGGGTGAAATAGAAATATGATTTCTTTCTGGGTAGGATTCCTTTTAGACAGAAAAGTGGAAATTGAGGCCAGGACTTACCTCATTTCGCGTGCCAGATCCTGCAAGCAAAAGCATGCGCAAACCAGTGAAAAAAAAACTTTGCCCCCTTGAAGAAGTTGCAACAGAAAGTCTGACGACGAGCCTCACCTTTGCACCATCAATCATGACGTTCCTTTTCTTCTCAGCGCGTGCTAGCAAAGGTGGCTTATTTCGACCTTATTCTGTTTTTCCCTCGCTTTTTTAGTCTTAACGGTCTATCAATCGTCTTTAACGAATAACCATTTATTTACACATTGTGTCCCTCCACTGCTCTACGTCCCATTGATTGGAATAGGCCTGTCAGGATGGTGAAACCACAGATACGAATATCATCTAATTAGGTTCAGTCCTAGTTTCAAGAAAACGCTGTGCACGCTAGGAGCGTCCACAGTTCCCATGACATTTCTGGACTGTGGGAGTGAAAACACATGAAATGTCAGAGGACTCCTTCAACGCTGAATCCGTTGTGACCTTTGTAACGATTTTAGTAAAATATATGTGTGTCACTGCAGTTTCTCGGAGCAATTCGGTTGCAGACAGTCGCATTCCGGAGCTGATATTACTCATAAATCACGCCAAGTGCCCTTTGGTATCCGACAACAGGTGCGTCTGCAGTGCAGACCAAACCACACAAATGACAACCACCTCCACAAAAAGTGAGTTTCCCATCAACGAAAAGCTATTAGACTGAAAGCTGACTGCTGTTATTATCAATTGTCAGCAGCTGCAATCGTCACTTATCAACCACCAACCGTCACTAAACTATCAATCATCCAATTTTAGGGTAGGTCGTTGTCCTCCATGTTGTTTGCTGCGTATTGTGGATGGTACTTAGGAACGTCAGAATTATGTATGGTGTGAATAGCAGGACCTTCACTAAGCTTTTCACTCGACACTGAGCATCCCATTACAAACCACTTGGATGAGACCTTTATTTCAATTATGCACATGAGAAGCTCGTCAGAAGGAAATTTTGAACATTTAATACTCACTCTCAATGCTCATTAAGTACAAAGTGACAATCATAACACGACCAACTTATGTGTCCAACAACTTTGCAAAATAAACAAAAAATGAAACTGATGCTTGTAAATGCAAAAAAAGCACGAAAACGTCTATCATTCAAGCTTTAGCATGACAACAGATTATCATTCCTAGATTAGACAAGAAAAACCGACACTGTGAGAAAAACTACAGTGGCGGTCGAAGCTTTGAAAAAAATTTCAGAACGAACGAAATTGCCGCAATTCTCAGCATACACAAAATCAATTTTTTTCATAAAATTTTCAAGATTTCCTATTTTCCAAAAAACTGCGCTACACTCGTATTTCCCTCTCAGTTTTGTATACACTGCGCGGATGAAGCAATCTCGCTCCCTGTTGCCCGGATAAGTCAAAAATGAAAAAGTTTCCAGACTGTACAGCCACTATATAGGATGGCTTCAACACTTTCCAATAACTGTATTTAAAAAAGACTTAATTTTGCTTTCGTTTACTTTCGAAAACGTAATTTACCCGCTTACTTTTCATCACCAAACCCAACCACAATACGAACATTTTTCCCTCCCTCTTCCCTCAATTTCTTCAGAACAAACCGTTCCTTTTCCAGTGCCAGCTTTTCCCGCTCAAGAGAGACCATGAGAAGCTCCTTCTTTAACCGAGAATTATTTATCTTTTCCTCATAATGACGCTGGCGGAGAATGGCTGCCTTAACTTCTTCCACATACAACTCTGTAGGCTGACAATTGGAGATAGGTCGCTCCCGTGTGTCCCTAAGTTAAACAATAAGAGCATAAAATTACGCTCGGCTTTTCCTATTGCGTGAAATTGAAAGTAAAAGTACACAAACCAAGTTCATGTGTGTAGCACTTACACTGAATGAGAGCGACGTCTTTTTGAGGGCCGTGAACGAGGAACGGTCTCCGAGGTACTGGGCGCATGCGGAACCTCGACAGAAGGTGGGGGGCTTTCGACTTCGAATCGCACGCTTTCAAATCCTTCATACCCTGGCGAACCTGGTTCCACCTAAATAATTTTACTTGAATATGAGTGTACTGAAATAGCTAATTCATCCTTCGACGCTATATACCTTCGGTTCAACATTGAAATGACTTTCACTCGGGCTTGGAGTGCAAGCGGTGCTCTGGCTATCCCGATTCTCTTGACTGTCATATTCTTCATCTTCTGGAAAGTATAATTCATATTCCGTGTAAAATGAACAATACAAAATTTGTCAGTCATGTGGTGGTAACAAGCATAACACTACTAGCTCCGAAAGCGACGAATTCAGAAATCACATGAGAACTATGCGACATAAAGCACAGAATACACTATGATGTCATTCAGGAAGTTCTTGCGGTTTGCGGCTGTTCACTTGAAGTGCCTTATTTGTAGTTCGATTTCGAAGCATTACTGAAACTGCGCATAATTTGGAAGCGCAGTTCTCGCTTTATCCGAAGATTTTGTCAGTTTTGTCCTTGTTCCGAAGTGATAGCCTTGAAAACAATGTACTTAAAAGATTTTCGAAGACTGCTCTTGTTCCCACTCAAACATCCAAAAAGCGGGAGTACGTCTATATCGACCGTGAGCTTCATCATGTTTTCACAATAACTGTCTATCTAGCTGTGCAGTCTTGATTTCAAATGTCTCGTAGTGATGGGTAGGGCCTGGGAGAAGGTGAAAGTTGGACAGCGGAGAGTAATAAGATAAACTGAGCGCGCTGATCAAGCCAAATTTATGGAGCTATTGAAGAGCTTACATCTGAATCAGGGTTAGACATGAGGTTCCCAAACGAACAGATGAGAACAAAAAGTTCAAAGAAGTCCGCAAGTGAATGCCGCACACCCTTCTTCCACTGTTAAACGGTCCCACTTCGCACATGCGGCTCTACCCAAGTAGAACTGGCTAAGCTACTGAGCTTTCCTGAAACAACCTACTTATCAAGTCTTTTTCTACCCGGCTGTCGCTTTTCCAAGCATCAAAGTAGATGCTTTAACACGTTGACGATAACAGGAGTTTTGGGTATTTGCACCGCATGGGACTAGAGCGATTTTGCAGGCGCCGCCGCCTCACCTCCAATCTATGGATTTTGAGCTGTAAATGAGCAATACTTAGATGCGACAGTGCCTTCGATGATGTTCAATGTGTTCGACTTAACAGGAGTTACAGTAATAGAAGTTTGGCCAAAAGCGCCTTATGGCAATGAAAATCTTTCGCTGTATTGGACCTCAAGATTATTTCTGACGCGCTTGCTCCACCAAATACATCTTGCTATGCGTATAGGTCTGCATTTACTTCTACTGCTTTTTTGAACTTGTTCAAGACATAAGAAAGAAGACATTACAAAGAAAACGGAGAATAAACCGAGCTCAAGAACTTGTAGGAGTTGTAGAACCGTCAATAAAGGGACGAATATATAACCATTTGGTCAACCACTCCGTTTGTGGTCACGTTGTGATAAGATGCAGAAAAATGCAAAAAAGTATGAAGGAAGAAGGCATACGCAAAAAAGACAATTTGGGTGCGAGGCGCATGCGCTGCACGCTGTCGTCACCGTGTTTAAAAAAAACTGCTTCGAAACTCAACACAATGTCAAAAGAACTTCGCCAAGTTCACATCTTCTTTAGAATTTCAAGCAACCTGACTAGCTATTGTCGTTTCTGGCCCAGGTTTGTTATCTTGAACGCTATTTCAATTGAAGAAGTTTCGCTTGAGCCGAAAAATGTGCATCCGAAATTGAGCGTCAAAAATCACAAGAAATTTATGAACGACCTAGCATGGCAAGATTATGATTCAAGTCTAACCATCTCTGTAGCCAGATCAATTTCGACTAGGTTGCTCTAGATAAATATGTGTATAAAATTGCGAAATGGTTGACAGCTCACTCCCAAAAAGCCCCCAAAAAAGGATCAACCGTTTCAAGTTTCTTAGGGCCAAATAATACCTCGCCGTAATCTATACAATTAATAAGGAATCAATATATCCACCTGTGTCAATTCTTCAATTTTGCACGCCTACACAAAGGTAGGAAAAGAAGTTGTGAAGAACACCAAATTACGAACTTACGTATTCCCACTAAACCATTCGTTAGCTTGGTGGAGATAATGATTTCATGAAGCCTATGAAGATAGTGCGGTAAGAACGGCAGCGCTCTGTCCGTAGAACCGTTATTATTATCCATCTAGACAATTCATTTACTTCATGGGAAATCAAAAACAACTTCATGACAAAATAAGTGCTAGAAAGTTTTACCGCGGTTCGTATATAGCGACGAACCCTTTTGATATCCGCTTTGATCCGTTCCTCTATTTGTTTTTCCGTCCTGTCAACCCCAAGGTTGCTAAGTTCTTGTGCGAAGTACGGCAGTAACGTTCGCTTTTCCGAAGGTTCTCTCTTTCCATCTGAAACACGATTAAAAGAATGTAATCCAGTGTAAACTTTAACGACCTATCCAACATTTTATGTTTATAATGCACGCCAGCACGAGAAAATTTCAAAGACAATAGAATTCCCTACAAAGAGCTGGACTACGTAATCCAATAACCCTTTTATGACGCGGATTTGGATGTAGCGTGCTCGTGAGACCACGACTCTTTTTGGCGCGCCCAAATCTTGCTCAACATTATGCGAATTTTCCCCTAAACGTAGGTTTTCGGGTGTGGTTCACTGAGACAGAAAGCGACTTTTTCGCGTTTCGCAGCGCGAAACTTTTCCTCTGCGGGAACCTCAGGTCCACCGGTGATCGTTAGTGGACTCGAAATTCCGCAGCGAACAAAGAGTGGACCCGAGGTTCCCGCAACGAGCAATGTTTGGCGCTGCAAAACGCGAGAAAGTCGCTTTCTGTCCTAGTGAACCACACCCCAGGTTTTCTATCTGATTTTTGAGTTCAACAGCATACAAAATATAACTACAGATTAGAGCTTTCATATGAGACATTGTTGGGAAAAGAATTGAATTTTTAGAAGGCTAACTCAGATTTCGAAGGGATGGTAGTTAAAAACTCTAGAAGATCAAATGTACAGAAGACTTTTTGATATTGTTCAAATCCTTGTGTTTTAAGACTATGAAAAGACGTAGAGGTTCTGATCACTAATTCGCCTCAAGCTTAACTATGCAAAAGGCTAGTTATTATGTCGCCGAGCGAAGTGCCACATACCGAAATTTCATATAAATTAGCTAGTATCAAACACTTCTGTAAAATATGTTAAACATAGACATAGCGAAGCTCGCTTATAATAACCGTCATGTTGAAAATGTTTTAAATGGGTAAAGAAGAAAATTTTAAAGTGGCACCCACCATTGCGTGCCATTGTCCCGCACGGCGGTCATAGTGGCACCCACCGGTAGGTGCCATTGTCGCCAAAGGGATAACAAGGTCGGAGAACTTGAATCATTTCATTGCAGTGCCAAGTCAGATAGGTAGTGTCACGAAGCGACGCAGGGACTACCATGAGGATTCCATCTCAACAAAACAGTCTACGTGCTCAACGTCACGTCATTTTTATTATCACATGACCGTCACAGTACGTCCGCTACTATTTAAGCAAAGGGTGAGGGGCAAGTCATTCTGTTCTAATACATCGGCGCGGCTCCCGTAAGGGTAGCTTCATCTTTGGCAGAGGCAACTCCATGTAAGTACCTACGGGGACTAGGGAAACCACTAAAAATAATTATACAGTTGTAATCAATGTATTTCAGGCCTGAAGAAGGTGTTATACACCAAAATATCGCGGAAGTTTCCGAAGGAATTCTTTTCAGAATTTTTGGCTTGTTTTTTGGAGTATTTTGACTTTTGTGAACTTTTGGAATAAAGCTTTTGGAGATTCTCTGTTTTAAACAAATTTAGATCCTGATGAGGCTCCGGGACAGCACAATACTAAGAAAACAGTCATGATTAAGATCGAGATACTTTCAGATGGGTAGGGATGGGGAAGGAGTAATGTTCGAAAATGAAGAAAGACGAATTATTTGATTTCACAGTAAAAAATCAATTACGGCGTGTCACCGGAAATGACGTGGCAAGTCGGGAGTCTCATCTGGGGGTAAACCACTGACAGACACTTTTCCAGTCCGGTAACTACACTACAGTCCAGATCTCGAAGTCGGATTGGGCGTGTCACCGGAAATGACGTGGCAGCCACCGCACTTGATAGAAGTTGTGCGGATAAGCTGCTTCCAACACGCTTTGCTGATATCTGGCGTAGTATTTCATCCAAACGACATCTATCAAGTGCGGTGGCCGCCAAGTCATTTCCGATGACACGCCCAATCCGACTTCGAGATATGAAGTGTACATATCTCGGTGTCTGAGTAGGCGTGTTTACGGACTTTTTCATAGGTCAAGTTTTGAAAAACAGGACAGATCTTGCAAGAATGCTTCCAGCTGCTTCTAGTCGATTTTGAATAATTTGGCAGGTTTACGGACTACTGGATTTCTCCTCAATGGTCCTGCCGCGATGGTTAGAGCACAGACTATTAGGAACGGGTGAATGTTCCAGGACTAAGCCTTGGAAAGCAGGGGGACCCGCGAGAGATCGCAGAGGAGGTTTAAAGGGCCTAAGTTCAAGCAGTCCGTCATCGTTGAGGGATAAACCTTTCACAGTGGAAATATCTGTCAGTTATGCATATTGTGCAATTATTCTCTTTGTTACTCACGCTCGCGGACAAGCCCTAACTGGTCTGCAAATAAGGTCGACGGACTAGTTAAGCTCGTGCGACGGACTTTTGGTGCGTCCGGGGTTGCACGCGGCGGGCTTCGCGGCCATCCGGACGAGGCAAGTCTTCGCGGGCTCCTGTAGTGGAATTCAACTGGTCAGAACGTGCGCAGATCGCGGATAGAATACACAGGGTTCTGCTTTGAAAGAAACTTCCCATTGGCGGAGATCGGTGAAATGCAGCGCTGTCAATGAGAAGATTACAGCGGAAGAAGATGAAAGAGAGGAACTTCACAGAAATGTCACTATAATCATATTATGAATATGAATAAAAACCACTAAAAATGGAGTCTTTTACTGAGATGTTTTTTACTGTAACTCCATACCTTTGCTAATCGCGATCCTCTCCTTGGGGAGAACTTTCAACAGGGCCAACGGATAGTGACACTAGAACTAAGCTCATGAGAAGAGAGGACGCTCGGGAGAACAGAAATTGCTCACATCTTCCACGAGAAATTTTCCCCCCTCAGGCTTAGTCCTAAACACAATAATTGGTTGAATCTCTCCGCTCATGGAATTTCCTTCCCCCCTCCCTCCTCCCTTAACAACAAGCTCCTGCAACCTAAGCGCCCTGATTGCTATAACAGCCTTTTGCTATTCCTTTTCTTCTCTACCTGCCGCTGCCTTTGAATATCCACGCGTCGGAATGTACTAACGTCTTCAAATAACCAGAAATTGTGCAATTGCAGAAATTGACAGTGGTATTAACGTGGCATCGATTCAAGAAGATCTTTGAGCACACGTGACGTCACCTTTTTATCGAGAATTTAGCCACGTGTGCCACGTGGATTTCTGGCTGCATGAAACGGAGTATAATTCGAATCGCAGAACCTTCTGGATTATCCGCGATTTGCAAATGTTCTGACATGTTGGATTCCACCGCAGAAGCCCGCGAAGACTTGCCTCGTCCGGATCGCCGCGCAGCCCTCCGCGCGATTTGTAGTGTGCAACCCCGGACGCACCAAAAGTCCCGCACCCCTTGAGCTCAGCCCTTTGGAACTCCTCTGCGATCTCTCGCGGGTTCCTCTGCTTTCCAAGGCTTAGTCCTAGGGCACTCACCAATCGTCTGTGCTAGAGCCATCCCGGCAGGACCATTGAGGAAAAATCAAATAGTCCGTAAACCAGTCTGCAAACACGCCCACTCAAGCGCTGAGATATGGACTATAAGTTCATTAGGCAACTGAAGCAATTAAGAGCAAGATGACGTCGATCACGCTTGCAGCAAATGCGAGTTCACCGTAACCCCAACTCCGTATCTCAAATATCGTCGAGGACATGGGGGTGTCTCGTAGCATCATCTTATCGCACTATAAACCTTGTGTCAAACAGCGGTGATGTCTGCTAGGTTGCTGTTACATACCAGAAACTTTTAAAAGAACTGGGTTAGTAGAAGACAGTAAAGGACAATTCCACATCAAAGGAAATTACAACAATTTGTTGGATTAGTGATACGATACACGTACCCGAGCAAGCGAACGCCTCGAACTCTTTTATCAATAGCCAGAACACAGTCAACAGGAGGCCTTCGAAAATCTAAAGCTTTTCAAAATCTCGAGAGAGTAGTAATATAATTTTTGTCCTCAACCGAAAGCTGTCAACGTTCTGGACCAAATAAATTTATAATAGATTGACCAATGGCGATGGTCGGAAGAGGGAACATTTAATTAAAAAGCTATGAGGGAACAAATTGAACAATAAAGTGAGAGCGATTGTTGTGAAACCTCACCTGCTAAAATCTTGCCATGGTATCTCTCAAAATTACTTGTATAAAGCTCCATCAGCAATTGCAATTCTGCATAAGAAAACATTGGCGCTTTTGTCTTCTTTGCCATTGGATCGAAATAAGAAGGCATGGCTTAAAATCTGGAAAAGGGAACTGTGTACTTCTCAGAGGCAATGTAGCGTAAGTAGAAAATCCAAAGGCGAAATAAATAAGAAATGTGAACACTTTTGACAGACATACAACGATTGAAACGGTGGGTATATTTCACTAGAACAGAAAGCGATTTTGTCGTTGCGGGAACCTAAGGTCCACCTCCGACATCAGCGAATCCAAGGTTCCCGCAGTGAAAAACGTTTCGCGCTGCGAAACGAAAATGTCGCTCTCTGTCCTGGTGAACCACACGCTGAAACGGTACATAAATATGAGTGTTGCAGTGTTCAAGAAAATTTGTGATAACTGTAACCGCATAATTTGCACTGTTGCCTAGATCTACGCCCCGAAAAAATGCAGGCCAATTTTTTTGGCAAGCTGTCCACTATTGAACTTAGCTGGTTGCGGTACCATACTGCGTACTCCCTCAAATCCAAATCCCGAGGGGAGAGGTGAGAGGTCTAGGATTGAACTTTGTAGGAGAAAGGGACTCCCTCCGAGGTAGGTGAGCCAACTAAGGTATGGTAGAAGTTTGAATGTCATGTCACAGTCATGATGTTACGTATTTCTCCCACCCTGCGCCCGTGCGATTACGTACAGAAACCGATTACAGTACTCACGCCTATTTCCGCTATCGTTGGGCGCCCTGTTTTCGATTGAATATTAGATCGTGAAGAAATTTCTTGCGCTTTTCGTCCTTGATTTGGAAATGCACGTATCTCGGCTGATTTGAAACCTTTTTGATCGTAGTAACGATTGTTGAATCCACAAACCTCTGCCAATAACAGTTGCGTTGAATCGGCCGGTCGTGCAGAATACTGGAGCTCTAGAGATGGTGAACCCTGCGGAGGTCGTGTCCGCACCATGTTGGGTTTTGAAGCATAACTCTTCGAAGAAGCTATCCAGGTAATCGAGAAAGTGACACTTATAGGCCAAAGGTCGGTGCTAACTTAGTTGGGGGGGGGGCACGCGGCGGCGCGGCAGTCTGCTCGCCTGGCATCTTCGGAAATCGTGGGCCAGGGGGGTGTGTAGGCAGTTTAGGGGGTGGTGGGTGGGCGGCAGTCATTGAATGCGTGAAAAGCATGGAATGGTTCGAGTTATAACCCCCTCAATTCAGAGAGAGCCCAGGTGCAGCAACTTGCCGCGCCGCGCGCGAGTGGCCCCCATAATGTTAGACCAAAGGATCTACGAACAATAGAAGTAAGCAGCTGATTCGGGGATCTGTCTTGGCTTCTAGTTCTTCAAGGTTTGATTTGTGCGATGTGCGTTGAGCTACCTGTCAGGAACGAGCGGTCCTTATATTAATAGGAAATATCGATATATGTGCTAGGTTCTAGCGAGTAGTTTGGTCATTATCAAATAGTACTTTTTCCACCATTAACGTGTTCAGTGGATGCGTAAGAGCTTGGGACCAGACGAATAACCTTTGTGAAAGTCACCTCAACTTCCTTCTAGTGAAGTTTCACTTTTGAAAAAAAAATTGTTTTGTAGAGCTGGATCGCGGCTGATCATACACAAGGTCAAAGCAGCCAGTAGCAAAGAATCCCATTCTTTTATCGGGACGTTCGTAAATAATTTGTGAGACGATCGCGGTCGTTTCATTGATTAATGGCTAAACCGGAGCCTAGAAAGCGAAGCTAGCGACCCTTAAAGAATGGTGCGTTGTCGCCGGCACTCCCAATTGAATTTTTGGGAACTTTCAAACTTCCGGCGTAAACAATGAAAATACGAAACAATGTGGCGTATTGAGGAGGAAGCTTCCAATAGGTTTGTGCAAACGTGCTCAACCTAGAACGTTGGGTAATCGTGGCGTTGTTACAATCTCCGGCACCACTCATCGAGTTTGGGGGCTTCACTATTACAGAAGCTTTTTAAACAATTGTTCGGACAATAATTACTGCGAGTGCTCACGAAGTGGTGAATCCGCTGAAGCCTGACGTCAATAATGTCTTGACCTGGCTTCCTCTCCATATGGCCTGCTTTGAGTATGAAAAGGGATCATGCAAAATTTGCTTTGGATTATGTTGTTTCAAAGTGTTGTAAGCCGCCGATGCAAGCGCGCACATTAATGTTTTTAATCTGGACTCATGCATGTTTAGGGGCTAGTGCGGAGAATTGCGGCTGAAGGCTTCGAGGAGATCGACCGTCGGATGCGGAGCGAGGACTGAAGCTAGGCTTGCTCAGTTACTTTGTCATCACGTCGGGGCGAGCTCCTATCGACATGATCGGTTTGTGCTATCTTTGTCGGTGCCTTGTGTGTGTAAAGCTATCTCTCTTTGTTCTACGGTTACTTCCTGCGAATTCTAATCATTTGCCTGTGGTTCTGTTATTACTTAGTGTTTTACGCATCCATTGTCCTTTGACGCCATTAGGATAAATGCTTAGTGAATACAAGGTCCAAGGCAGAAGCATGGCCCACCTTCTCTGCGCGTGCAAGCTTACTGGTAGCAGCGAGTGGTTCACCCCTCGCTGTGGGTAAGTGGTAGGCCAGGTAAGTTCTCACTGCGCTTTTCTTACAGTCGAGTGAATGCGATAGGCGCCGTTCGTGTTTTGCTGTCAGCTGTGGGGTTGCGCATGCGAAAACTTCGCCCTTGCGGTCGGCTCGAGACAGACTATCGTACCGTGTTCAAATTCGCGTTTCGGTCAAAACCCCTTTTGGTTTCACTGAAAGTTCATCAGTTAAGGCTCTTTGTTTTAAGGCTCATGGAGCTTCATCCATGAGTCATATGGTACGGTGATCTTTGTCTTAACGAATTTTTTTTAGTGTTTGCGCGCTTCCCTGGACGGGGGTCTAAACCGTCTCAAGTTCTGAGAATGTAGAACCTCGAGGAAAGTTGGATGAAAGGTGTAAGTCAATTCGTCCCAGGTTATTGCCCATCGGAGATGGGTGCACCACAAGGAAGTTCGACGAGAAGTTTTTCCCGCCGTTGTTTCGGATGTGGATTTGGATTTTTGGAGCAAAGTCGGGACGCTAAATGATCACTCGAGTGGTTCAGTGTTCCTTCGGAGAGGTTGGTCAGTTCTGGTAAGCGATTCCTGGCCAGTCGATTTTTTTTTCGAGAAAATGTCATTCCGCGGATTAATATTAAAAAAAAGACGAACGTTGAGAAACGGATAAAAAAAGGATATTCACACCTTACTTTTGGTTATTTCTTTCGCTGTTATATTTGTACTGGTTATGTTCTGAAGGCCCGATGGGCCTGTTTTCAAGAGCAATTGTGAAGTAAAGATACCGGCCGAGCGCGGCAACCTTCGATCTACCTAAGGCCAAAACCGCCTTGTTTTGTGGTGTTAGGGACCCCCCCCCAGCTCCCCTATTTTGACAGGGAATTGGGGAGCCCCCAGCTGTCCGCCTAGTGGACGGCTGGAGGAAGTCATGGTCGCTAAATCACCGGCCGGTGACACAGGAAGCACGGCAACTTTGTGGTCGTCATGAATTGAAGCATTCATTGCGTTTGCAAAGACTTTCGCCCGTGTGGGATCCGATCCCTGGGGTGCCCTTGTGAGGAGTGCTGGCGACGACGGCGAGCGCTCCCTCTGCGCCATCCGATCGGTGATATAGGCGGATCGAGGGCCGACCATATAGCGATATCGCGAGTTGCGATAAGAATTAGCGCGTTCAGTTATGAGGTTCTAACTCGTTTACTAGTGCTCAACTTTTGTTCGGTGAATGCCTTTCTTCACGCTTCGAGTATGTGGGCTTTGGCGGGGCGCCCTTTGTGCACATAAGGCAAGCAGGGTCAACCCTGCGTTGAGTAAAGAACAACGAGGGGGTCGCATTCAGCCGACCGAAAAGGGTGGGGGTCTTATCCACAGACGGGCTGCAAGACGGCTTGGAAAGTGCGGTGTGCGGGAGTCCACTTTCAGCCTCTAACGTTCTCCAGGAGCTCTGCACGCTGTCGGAGAGTCACACAGACATGGGAGCATTAAAGCATGCAGAGCACTATAAGTCTCACCATCAGCTTATCATCTTTAAGCGACGCTATCCGGACGGCGCTTTTGCTCCGCGGCATAGATCAAGAGTACAATAGACAATAGAAAAAACTTTGTTACAGTTTAGTGCAAAAACATGTTCTGTCTTCGATGATGAAACATTCCTGAAATCCCAAGGAGAACAAAGTGTAGATCAATTCATGGGAAAGTGAAACAAGGGTGCCATATAACAGCACAATGCAACTCAATCAGGATACTGACACCTTCTTCAGACTTTCAAATGCGAGTGCGAACTCTGCCCACAGACAGGTGCACGGCGTATACCCGAGGCGTTTTCCCATAAAAACGCCTCCTCTGTCGGCGGCCGTAAGCAGACAAACTTTCTGAAGAGAGTTACGATCCTTTCAAATAAAATCTAAGCGAAATAAAATGTAGCTAATTTGCTGAATTGAGTTCTAGAGACGCCATAGGAAAATTGAGGCAGAAGAAAGAGTTTCAGGAAAATTTTACAGTTGTTATGAAGTCTTCGAGTGGATTCCAACAGTCTTTACCGCTTCTCATCTCATTAATTTTAAAGGAAGTTATAGGCTTTTGAAGACTGCGTAGTCGCGGTCCAGGAAAATGGCTTGAAAAAAATCAATGTGGAACAAACGGAACAACGGGACTATTTTTTGAACGAGTGATTATTTCAAGAAGTTTTAGCACCTATTTGAAAGCACTGATCCTCTAGTTTCTAATTAGCCTTAGAAATCTGCAAAATGTTGAGTATGAAGAAAGTTATTAACGGTTGAATGTCGAAAACTCCCGCCTTCTCAAAAATCGGACCCCAAACCACCCAAAAACGGAACAACGGAACTATTTTTTGAAAAAAATGATCGCTGGGAATTTTCAGGTGCTTGTTCGAAAGCTCTAATCTTCTAGTTTCCAATTAGCCTCAGACATTTGCAAAAAGTTGAACATCCACAACATTTCAAATACTACTCAGGAAGAAAACTGTTTATATTTTTAAAATTTTGGTGTCCGATTTCATGAAACAGCTTCTGAAAG